TGAGTAACATGGAACCACTTCTTCATTGCTGTTGTACCCAAGGTCGTAGCACCTGTTAGAGTTCCAGCTATGGTTAAATAGTGACCCAACTCACACAAGCAAAACACCATGAAAGTATAAAAACACATTTTTATAGTAAAAATACCAGCAATATACTTTTATATAAAAAATTACCTACAATACATATTTATAGTAGAATTACCAAATATAATTTCAACAGAACTATAACATAAAACACACATATCACCAGCAAGAATGACCCATAAAGGAGTTGATGGACCATTAAAAGAAACAAATCCATCTTGGCATCAGTCACTTTCCCACCACCGTAATGTAGCTTCCCTGTACCTTTTCTATAATTTTGACATCGATAGCAGCATCAACCACAGGTGTCTTTTTGAATAAATCTGCACTTTTTTAAAATTTATCAATTACTCACATATTTTAATGGTTTATGATGAGTTATTTTACTAGTGTACATAAATATTCCATAGAATTTACTTGATAAATACAAGTTAATTTTCATTAAATTAGTTTTACTTCAAAATAAAGCATATACATTTACTATGATACAATTCCTAAACTTATCAGTTAGTAAAAGATAAATTAGCTTTTTTTTTCATTAAATAGTTGTGGGGCTCCACCAAAAAAAAAATTAAGAGTAAAAGTGGTCTATGTGTAAAAAAAGGTTGAGAAGCACTGCTTTAGAGGATGCTTCCCCAGTCACTATAATCTTAACCTCTTCATGTCTATGGTCAACCATTATCTATCCTACATATCCTCACTTATTATCTACACATTTTACTTCCTCCTCTTACATTCACACAACACCTTCATTGTAATCCCCTACCTTGAGTGATTCTTGGGCCTTGTATTGGTTGAACAATTAGTAAAAAAGTGTTATAATTTTTTTCTATCAGTTTCTGTGTTTGATAAAGCTAAAAGTATATTAAATACATTATAAACAAAATTCTTATTTTCAACAATAACTTTAATGAGTCAAAAATTTACTATTCTCTTCCTTGATCTCATTCCAAATTTCATCATTCTAGATTTTTTATCTTTTTCAGCAGAAACAGCTCTATGTGCCTTTTGAAGTCTTCCAGAGAATCAAATGTTTTCAAAAGTGAATTCAATAAAAAATAAATGATAATCTGAAGGAATAATAAATAGTGAATATTGTGGAGAACTGAAAACTTTCCAGTCAAACTGTAAGAATTTTATAATAATTTTATTCCAATCAGCAAACTCTTTTTCTTGCTCATTCTGGAGAGCTATTTTTTTTTTATCAATTACTACCTTCAGTTGGTCTAACTGGAACAAGTATGCCAAATCAGTTGTTTTTCTTCTCTGGAGTGTATACTGAAGAACTCCTTTCTAATTCCATTACATACACATCATCACATTTTAGGGGTGAAATCTGCTTTTTGGTTGTGTTTATTTCACTTGCTCCATTGTTGTAAAAGATAAATTTTTCATTGTTAACCACAAAAAGGGGACATTTTCATTTAAGTATTGAATTACATACAAAAATTCAGTCCAGTAGCTCCTTTTTTTTCACTTAATTTATGAGGAAGCTATACATCCAAGTGGCTAACATAATCAGTTTTGTAAAACTTACTTTAAGCCCTTGATTTGAATAATTTGAGTATGTTGTTTTCCTTTTGTATAATAAAATGTTATTTTCAGTGTGTTGATATTTGATATCAATAGTCACATAGACCTCAGCTGGTCTATGTGACTATTGAGTAAAATGCAACTTTGCAAAATACTTTCGACATGCTTGATTGATCACATTCATTTCTTTATAAACAGCAAAAGTTATTGTGTTTGAGATGCATTTTTACCTTTATTAAAATAAAAAGGCATAATATCCTGAAAATTGTTTTTCTTCTATCTTCAGTATTAGAGTCAATAATAAAAAAAATGTGCCAATTTTAACATTTATTTAAAAAAAAATGCTATTTTAGTTTTTTTGAATTAGTTGAAACTCAACACTCCTAATGCCATCTAGCAAGACAAAAATAAACTTTTTGACCAAATCAAGACATGAGGGGGTGTTGAAAAATTTTCAGTTTGACTCATTTTTTAAAATCTGACCAAATGATCTAAAATTTTACCTATTTTTTAAAAGTGTTTCTTGGTCAGTCTTTGGACCTCCTATTACATAAATGCACACACACACACACACACACACATTCAGGGTATGAGTCAACATAGCAACCTCCAGCAGAACATGAACTGCATTTAATATATTCCATTTTGGAACTCTCTAACAGTTTACATTGATTATGTCTCCATATAAATGCTAATTTTGTATTATGCTATACCCCTTATTCACCTTGTTTAAGAAAAGCCACTGTGGTAGAGCTATGTTGCTTTTTTTAAAACTGATAATGAAAGTGAAATATTTGCCAATCAAAGCAACATGATCATAAATTTCATATTCGGATGAGAGCACAGTAAAAACACTCACCCTTAAACTTCAGAAAGTAAACTATTGTGAGCTCGACAAAACATCTTTATTCCAAGAACTAGACCACCCGCCCAATATACCCAGATTCCATCTTTCATCTACCCTCATTCCCCATCCTAATGTTTCTATGCTCTTTTACCCAGATAATTCATACCCACAACATCCAGTTTCCCACCTCTGCATGATACCCAGACTCGACTCCACATGAGCCACGTGTCCATGGCAGACAACAACAGTAATAATTAGACTGTACAATGGAACTTAGTTCATTCTGGTTTTGTTTAAACAAGCATAGCTTACTTGGGAAATGTCTTTTTCTTTTTGTTTCTTTTGTTATTATATGGCTTAATTTCCCCTCCCATTCTTTTTTTAAGTTCTTGTTTTACTCCATTTTGTTTTCTTCTTTTTTTTATTTTTATTATTTTTACAGTTTCCATTTCTCTCTCTCTCTCTCTCACTTCATCTTCACGTCACATTCCATCATTGTTTGTTTCTTTCTTACTCCCTCTATTTCTTTATGCTCACTTATCTTTCTTGTATTTTATTTCTCTTTATGTACCTATTTTTTAAAATTATTTTTTTCCCATTTTTTGTTATGCTTTTTTCGCCTGTTCAACATTTTTATTTTAGTTTTAACTTAAGTTTGTCACTTTCTTTCACACATTTTCTTTTCTATTGTTTCTATCTTTTTCTCCCTTTTTACATTTTTTCTTCTTCTTTTTTCTCTCTTTCTTATTGTTCCATTTTCAGTTTACCTTTCTTTTCTTTTTTCCTTACTTTCTTTTTCCTTTCCTGTTTTCTTTCAGCTTCTTTTCATTCCTTACATTTTCCTTTCTTTTCTTACTTATTGTCTTTCTCATAGTTTTCTTAATTTCCTTTCATTCTTTTCTTTTACCTTTTTCTGATTGCTTTACTTTTATCTCTCCTTTTTCTTCTTTTCTTTTTCTTCTCATGATTTTTTCATTTTCTCTTCATTCTTTTCATTTATCTTCCATTTTCTTTTCTCTTTATTCCTCCCCATTCTTTTTCAAAATCCATTTTTAACTCTTTCTGCCTGCTTACTTCCTTTATTTTTCCACTGACAAATTTTGCATATAACCAGCATGTATGCACCTTTCCTAAACTCCCCACTTACTCCTCAATTCCAACTGGCACCCGACATGCCATGGTCACTTTAAGACTCATATACTCCATCTCTTCCCCTCTCTCTCCCCTCATTACTGATGGCGCCACCATTACATCAACCCTTTTCTACAAAACATTTTTCTTCTTAATTATTGTTGATTATTTTTTTCTTTATTCTTTTTATATCTCATTTTTTTTTTTTTTTTTTTGTCAAAGGCACACATCCACCCTCAATACCCAGCTCAAGAAAACCATTAGTATCCTCCTAACCATCATCAACAACGCCAGATTCTCTACCCGGGTGTAGATGGCAGAGATTTAAAGGAAAGGTGGGTGAGTTCTTAAGAGTGTGTTGGTGGGGAGTGATGTTGGTTAAACATCTCTGATTTTAACCTCTTCTTTTTCCTCCAAGACTTACTCCCCTCACTAACCCCACCTGGACCTCACTTTCTACACCCTACCCTGCAACTTCATCTTGTATAATGGCAGCAGAAACATTGGTATTGGTATTGGCAGATAGACATTACAAAGGTGGTAGGGTATTTTCCTCAAAGTGCACACCTCTTCTTCCGTTACACACATATGTACACATAGACACACATACACACACTCTCACCCTAACCCTACCCAAGGCAGATGGGCAGACAGATACCCATACCTTCTGCTACCCTGACGTTTATCTACTTTTCAATTTTTCTTTTTGTACTTGTTTTGTTTCATTTTTATTTTTCTTCTTTTTGTCTTTTACTTCTGCAAACTTTTTCTTCTTTTCTGTCTTTTTAAATTGTGCTATTTTGTTATAAGTTTTTGGCTGATTTTCTTTTCTTTTATAAATGTTTCCTTCTATCATTTTTTCTTCCATTTTATATGTTTTCTTACTCTAGTTTTCTTTCAAATTTCATTCTTTAAAATACTTAAATCTTTATTTCTTTTCAATAACACTTTCTTTTTCTTTTTTTTCTGTTTCTTTTATTTTATGCTTTTAACATAATTTTCTGATAATTAGATAGATATATAGATCTGAACAGACTGAAATAGAGAGATCTAAATAGACTGAGATTGATAGATCTGAACAGAATGAGGTGTATATATATATATATATATATATATAGATATAGATATGAACAGACTGAGCTGAGATAGATAGATCTGAACAGAATTAGATGGGTAGTTAGATCTAAACAGAATGAGATAGATCAATAGATAGATCTGAACAGAATTAGATGGGTAGTTAGATCTAAACAGAATGAGATAGATCAATAGATAGATCTGAACAGAATTATATATATATAGAGATAGATAGATAGATAGATCTGAAAAGACTGAGATAAATAAATCGGAACAGAATTGGATAGATAGATAGATCTGAAAAGACTGAGATAAGTAAATCAGAACAGAATTAGATAGATAGATAGATAGATAGATAGATATGAACAGACTGAGATAAATAAATCAGAACAGAATTAGATAGATAGATAGATATGAACAGACTGAGATATGTAAATCAGAACAGAATTAGATAGATAGATAGATAGATAGATAGATAGATAGATATGAACAGACTGAGATAAGTAAATCAGAACAGAATTAGATAGATAGATAGATATATAGATAGACATGAACAGACTGAGATAAATAAATCAGAACAGAATTGGATAGATTGATAGATATGAACAGACTGAGATAAATAAATCGGAACAGAATTGGGTAGATAGATAGATAGATATAAACAGACTGAGATAAATAAATCAGAACAGAATTGGGTAGATAGATAGATAGATAGATAGATAGAGAGATATAAACAGACAGATAAATAAATCAGAACAGAATTGGGTAGATAGATAGATAGATAGATAGATAGATAGATAGATAGATAGATCTGGACAGTATTAGATAGATAGATAGATAGATAGATCTGGACAGTATTAGATAGATAGACAGGTAGATACTGAAAGCAATGATTATTCTTATGAAACATTTTATATTTTCAAAAACATATTTTCCCAGTTTCTTTTTCATAATATTTTTTCTATTATTTTTCTTTTCGCTTTTCTATATTTCTTTCTTTCCTTATGAACATCTTTATCTTTTTCCTTTCTTTCATTTTATAGTTTTCTCTCATCCATTTCTGTAAATGCCAACTTTTTTCTGTATTATTTTTTGGGTTTTTTTTTACATTTTTTCCCTTGCTCTCTACCCAAACTTATTTCTTCTATAACATGTCAACTTTAAGCCTACCCACTTTTATTTTCGGTTTTTTATTAGCCTTTTAAAAAAATATGTTGCTTCTCTGTTATTCACATTCAGCAGAGAAGGACAAATAAAGGTGAGTTAAAAAAAAAAGAAGAGTAGTTAGAGGAGAATATTGTATCAGTGCAAGAGAGAGAGAGAGAGAGGGAAAAAGAGTAATAGCGATAGAAACATATTAAGTGGGAGGTGGATAACAATTTTGAGTCTGGTAGAATAAAAACTAGATGGAAAGACAATGAATAAAAAGCATTGTTAAAATTTGAAAGGAAAAGAGAGAGAGAGAGAGAACAAAAACCTTAACTTGACAGGTGAAAGGAGTAGAAAGTTGGACAGCAACATTGAAAAGAGTGCCTCATATCATGCATTGGTTAGCAAAATAGTCTCACAGTCCAATTGTGATGAGTTCAGTCCTCAGTTGGTATCTTTCTGTTGTATTGAAATAACATTGGCTCAGTGTAAGCAAGGTCTTGCTGAGCAGTAATGATTAGCAAGCTAATCTCACAGACTATCAAGATTTTTCAGTCCCCACTTAGTGCACCACACCTGTGATCTTGTACCATATTGGTTTAAGCTTAATAAATCACAATAACTAGCCATAGAAAGAAATGTGAACATGCAAAGGTAGATAGATTAGGAACTATGATAGATAGATATAAATAGACTATGATAGATTGATAGATATAAACAGACTTCCATAGATAGATTTAAACAAATTATAATAGATAGAGAGATAGATTATGATATATAGATAAATAGATTTAAACAGATTAGCATAGATAGATAGATGGCCTGGGATATACAAATAGACAGAAAAAAATCTAGATAGATAGATAGATAGATAGATGGCCTGGGATATACAAATAGACAGAAAAAAATCTAGATAGATAGATAGATAAAAAAATCTAGATAGATAAATACAGAAAAAATCTAGATAGATAGATGGGATAGATAAATGGACTGAAAAAAATAGACAGAAAAAATCTAGATAGATAGATAGATAGATAGATAGATAGATACTCTTAAGTGCCTAATAGCAGGTGGGGATGTTTAACATTTTTTTTAGGAAATTTGGAAATGGTCAAGTTTTCCTTTCAGTGCAGATGTTCTCATCATTGAAATGTTGTCTGTAGTAACCATAATTGTAACAGTAACATTAGCCATTTCCTTACAAGGAAACATTTGGCATTCATTGGCCAAGCAACTAGTTCTACTTTTGGTTGAAATTTATAAAATCTTTCTATTAAAAACAATTTTGTTATTTTTCTTTCCAGTATTCCAGTTTCCTTGCTTGCCTTTTGTATTAAGCTGTATGGAACGTCAACATCTTGATTATGTCATTATTTTCTCATCAAGTTTAATGGGATATCCATTTTAGTCTTTTCTGTTGCTGGAAGTCCTCAAGCAATTTGGTTTCTGCTATCTGTTACAGTTCTTTCTTTGTGATTCTGTAATGTCAGTCCACAAGATTTGAAGAAGAAGGCTCCTCACTAAGATAGACTGACATAAACAGAGTTAGCTTGACAAATATGAACAGTGAGGTAGATTGATGTGAACAAAGTGAGATAGGTAGATAGATAAATGTGGATAGAGTCAGAGAATATATATATATATATATATATATATATATATATATATATATATATACACAGAGTGAGATAGCTAGCTGGATAGATGTGAACCATTTTTGATCTCTTTATATTTTAAATTATGCAAATGAACAGTCACCTCAACCTCTGTTAAATTTGTCAATGTGTGATACCATGTATTTAATATATACACATACAACAATGGATCAATAATTTATCATCCTGATACATAGATATTAATTGAATTTTGATTTGATTTTACTGTATAATGTTTGATCTATTATTCATCACTGATTTAAAACTTTAGAAAGAAATGCAAGCAAGGAAAAGATGAATGATTCAACAAGAATTAGGCAGAGATAGAAAAACTACATAATATAAACATAGCAGGCAAACATAAAATGATAAGACAGAGGAGGGAGGAAATGCCAGGATGTATAAAATTTAAAAATGGGACAATCATAATTAAAAGTGAAAAGATATTATAGATTCATCTTTTGATTTTATCAAGAATCTCTAAATAAATATTAGAAGCACCAGACCAGATATGGCAGTAATATTCAATGTTTGGTTGAATGGTAGATTTATAAATATACACATACATAAAATCTATGATAGCCCAAGCTCAGTTGAAATACAGGGTGGCAAGAAAGTCATTATAATTAATATATAAATAAATTATAATAAAAAAATCAAAGCTGGTGGCTTGCAGTTTGAACAGTATCAGTAATTAATTTACTATTGTTTACCATAGAATTTTATTGTTATTAACTAGAATTAACCATTTTAATAATAAATTTCTGAACTGTTGATTAATTGCTTTGTCTTAATTGTTATTGTAAATAACTGTATAGTGACTTTATTGCCACCCTGTATAATGTTAAAGCTTCACCAAAGTTCTGAATTCCTTTACCTGTCTTTGAATCTGAGCCAATTATACACGTAACATATCTGAAAATTACATTAGAATGAAAAATAACATTAAAATACAAGAAACTAATGGTAATGAAAGAAAAGCAACAACTGATAATACATTAATTTATAAAACTTTTAGACTGAAGATGATATCCAATTTGATTTATTGAATACAAAAAGAAAAATATCTTGTACTTTTTGGTCTCTTTCTTAAAGAATTAAAAAAAAGCACATATCTGCAATTTATGTTTGAAAAATCCTTGTAAATAGTTTTATTCAAAATCTAAGAGACTTGAGGCAACAGAGGTATGGTGCTACAGAAGGATGCTAAGAATACCATGGACAAAACATGTGAGCAACAATGAGGTTTTAGATAGGATGTAAATAAAGAGGAAGCTTATACTTAACATCAGATAGAGGCAGCTGAAATTTCTGTGTCACATAATGAGAAAGGAGGACTTGGAGAATCTGATACTCACAGGGTGGATAGAGGGAAAGAGAGACAAGAGAAAGCAATGCATGACATACAGGCTTAAGTGAATGGCAGAACAGGGTTTGGGAGAAGTAGCAAAAAGACAAAACTTATTAAGAACTACAAGGAATAGGGGGAGGTGGAGAGCCATGATCACCTACATCCTGAAGGGAAATGGCACACAAAAGAAGAAGAATATATTTCTTGACATTAAAGATTCTATTTATTCCCAACTTACAACATAAATTTTCTGTGTGTTCTGCAGGTAAAAGTTGTCTTTTTTAATTTACTTAATTCTATATTTATCTGTTACTTTCTTAAAATCTTTCAAGTCAAAATTAAAGTATGTCCTTGAGGCATGTTTGACACTGAAAATGTATTTTATTGCATGTGTGATTTGGTGTAATGGATAACAACTTGGAATAAGAAATCAGAGAGCCGAGTTCAAATTCCAGTCAGGTTCATTACATTCACTTATGTGCAAATAGCCTTAGGTAAGGTACGAATCCATCTCTTCTTCCCCTTCCCCATCTATGATTTGAATAGCAAGACAGACTGGATCCTATAGCCTTGGTTGGCAACCTGTCTACCACATAAAGAAATAGTAGTGGGTACTGTAGGAAATTTTCTGACTAGTAAGTCATAGATTAAAAGAGACATGATCACCCAAGCATGTACCATGTATGGCACTTGACTAACTGACTGATTTTATTCAGATTTAAAAGAAATTAGATTCAATAAGTACTACTATTCAAGATCTTTTTTTCTTATCAAGCTGGTGAATAACATAGAAATTTATAAAACAAATATATTTTATACAGGGCAAAAAATGCATAACAGAAACAGAAAATTCTACATTTCCTGATGTGAAAATTTTTCTATCTGCATCAACTTATTTCATAAGAATATCAAATCATTCCAGAATTGAAATTCGCCAGTACTTTTTGATGGCTGTTTAAGCAGAGAATAGTTTTTGATACATTGGCAATTTGTTATATATTATGTATTTCTTAAGCTAGCTTTTACTGCATTGTCTGCATCTTTTCAATAGAGATGGATTTCTGTCTGCATTCAGGAGTTATCATTATTTACACTATCTACATTCAGACTATTGTCCTCATCTGTGTTGTTATCACAACAGTTATGCCCTTCAGACTTTACCAGGTGTATATTGATCCAAGTAACGTACAGAGAATTACAAATTGAACCAGTTATTTAATCTACAGGAGCAGATTGTTCCTATTCCACTGCCCATGTCTAGGGATATCTTGTTTAGTTCTTATTACAGGACAATAGCCTAGTGGATTAAGGTATTGGTTTGTGAATTTGGAGACATAGTAACTGTGATGGCATGGTAGAGTAATGGATAGTGGCTCGGATTGAGGAATTGGAGTTACAAGTTCAAATTCCAGTCAAATACCGTTCTGTTGCATTCACTTTCAATTCTTCAATCCAAGCCGCTATCCATTACTTCACCGTACCTCCCTCCTCTTCTTCTCCCTCCAGCTATAGGTAAATAGCAGGACAGACGGGGTTCTGTAGCCTTAGATGGCAACTGGTCTACCGCAGAAGCAAATGACAACCTAATGCAGGAAAAAATCTGCCTCGTCAGTCATGTATTGAAAGAGACATGATCGGCTAAGTGTGTATCACGCATGGCACATGAGTAACTGTGGGTTCAATCTCTGGGTCAGGCAGTGTGTACTTAGACTCAGTAGAAACAGAACAAGCAATAACTGTGCAGTACTAAAAATT